ATATTGTTTTTTATTTTCTTTTACAATACATTTTTTGCTTTTGAGTGTGTGTGGTTATAAACTGAAATGACTCAAAATTTAGAAATAGCTAACTAATAATGCATAACTCTTTTGTTTAAACAATTGTTGTTATGTGGCATGGCGTGTACAAGCTGGTTGAATAGGTATCATTTCTCAGGGCTGTCTGTAAGTGAGTTGTTGGGAATTTAGTGAGTTAGCAATATCCCATATCTGCCAAATAAAGTTTACATCTGCTGAGAGTGGAGTCCAATGAAGTATCTGAAAGCCAAACAAATATTTCTGGAACTAATTTCATGCCCATATCCATCATACACAAGGGGACATGAAATTGGTTCCAGAAACATTTGGTTGGCTTCCAAATACTTCAGTGGGCCCCACTCTCACCAGATGTAAACTTAATTAAATGGTGGGAGTAATATGAGTGTACTCATCAATTCAGATTGATGGTGGGGTGGGAGGTGTTGATTTCCCAATGTGTTTTTTTATTATCTTGCTCTTTAGCAATGGCTTCTAACTCAACAGGTTATGAGCCCAAGAATAGGTTCTATTTTAATGGTGACAAATCAGAATAGTTTGGGGGTTACATGTGGATCCAAAAATTACACAAAATAATTTTGACCCCTTTTGATCATCATAATGATGAAGACTACCATGAAAAGAATGCAAATGTGTTTGCCAAATTAATTCAATTTCTTGATGATTAAAGTTTATCTCTTATGAGAGAAGCCCCTGGTGGTGGGAGAAAAGCACTGCAATATTTGAGAGAGCGCTATTTATTGAAAGGAAATCAAAAATAATTTCTGTGTATATGAAATTAACATCCCTATGCAAAACCAGCACTGAAACTATTATGGATTTTTTGAGCTGAAAAATTGGCCACTTTATTAAAGATTTCTGGGGTAATTATTGGTGATGGCTTCTTAATCACCATGGTCTTAAAAGGCCTTCCATTCAATTTCAAGCCATTTGCAATTGTTATCACTCAGAAAAACAAGCTTTCTAACATTTAGTGAATTTAAAGTAGCATTGCAAAGCTTTGAAGAAACTGAGAAAATGATTCATGATAATAATAGTGAGAATACCATAATGTCACTCCAAATGCCAAAACCCAAACTACAAACTAACATACCAACTCGTTTCACTTGCAGTAAACTTGGGTATAAAAGTCCTGACTTCTGGAATAAATTGTGAATAATTCCCCCTCAAAACACTATAATTCCATTCCACCAAACAAAAATATCTGTCATGCTTGTCGCAAACTGGAACACTAGTACTGAATGCAGAAACAAGCCCATTTCATAAAAAAAATATAGAACATGTTTCATGTGTTTTCATTTAGACTAGACACAGTTTCCAACAAAAAAAGGCTTACTTGTCGATTGTGGTGCTTCTATGCATGTGATTACTGACTAATCTAAATTTCTTACTTTCGATAATGATTTTAATCAAGAAAATTATCATATTGAACTGGCAGATGGTAGTCAAATCAGTAGTATTGCTTTAAAAAGGGGTAACGCTCAAATCACTATAACCAATATGGACAGAAATATGCATGACTGCATTTTAACAAATGCTCTATACATTCAAACAAAATATATTCTTGGTACAGGCCACTACCGAAAAAGGAGATTCTGTGAAATTTGGCCAGAATTACTTGGAATTACCCTAATGATTTCAAATTCAATATAAAAAGAAATGTATGGTTATACTATTTAAACACTGCAGTAACCTCCAAAACTGCTACATGCAGCATAAAACAATGGTATCAAATTCTTGAACATTGCAAGCTGGAAGACATTAAACAGCTTCAAGAAGTCATGGAAGGCATGAAAATTGTTGATAAATCAGATACAAACTGTGAAACCTGTATCCAAGGCAAAATGGTACAGTATAAAAACAAGTTACCAGATAAAAGAGGCAACTAAAATATTACAGCCACTAGGACGCAAGGGGTTACAGAAAATAGGAAGATCAGATAGGAGTGATAGAAGAAAGGATGAGGGTAGTGGATAGATTAAGGCAACTGGAGATGTCGATTGACATTACACTTGAATAGCTGGAGATTATAGCTCACAGGGAAACAGGAGAAGGGAAGAGAGTTCCACAGGCGAGAGGTGCGAGACATGAAGCTATTAGAGTAGAAGAGACGGCTACATTTAGGAGTTTCGACAGTGAAGGGGTGAGAGCGGGATGCCAGCCTCGTAGGGCGCTTGAACTCATGAAGTCTGGGAACCAGCGAATGCAGCTCCTCGGAGCAATTTCCATGAAAGTATTTGTAGAACAGACAGAGGGAGGCGACGGCGCGTCTGTGAGAAAGTGACTGTAGACGAGACGCCAGGGCAGGGCCAACCATATTGCATATCCGCTTCTGGAGCCTATCAAGAACCCCGAGGCAAACAGAAGGGCGCCAGACCATATATGGCAGCAATACTCCATGCAAGGGCGAATTGTGGATTTGTATATCTGGAGGATCGACTCAGGGGAAAAACTTCCTAGCGCGGATCAGGGAGCCAACTTTCCTCGCAGTGGACGAGGCAATTGACTCGATGTATTTATTCCATCTCAGGTCAGCAGTCAACGTGAGACCGAGAAGCCGCAGAGAGTTGCTCTCGAGAAGTTGAGCGTCAGACATTCTAATGGAGGGAAGGAAGGCTCTCTGTGGTGATTAATAGAGAGCAGTTTTTGTCTTCGAAGCGTTAAAGTTGACCAGCCAATTCATGCCCCAGTTCACAATCGATTGGAGGTCCTTTTCGAGACGCACGGCAAGGTGAGTTTTGTCAGCGAGACTAGATTTGTTTTTGAGGCAGGAATAAATTGTGGTGTCATCCGCGTAGATGCCAACTTGGGGATTATGGCGTCAGGAAGGTCATTTATGTAGATAAGGAATAGAGTGGGGCCTAGGATGGAGCCTTGAGGAACACCTGCGTTCGTGGGATAGGAACTGGAGGAGAATCCGTTGAGAACGACCTTCAATTCACGGTTTGACAGGAATGATTGTATTCGTTATATAATTGAAATAATCATAATTATATATTGATAAATAAGAAGGCCGGCGTGCCAAACCCTATCAAATGCTTTGGAGATATCTAGTGCATCGGCTCGGGCTTCCCCGTTATTTAAAGAGTTTGATAGACTGTTTCAGTTTTATTCATTCACATCGGCTGTAGATCTAGCAAAAGGGAAACCATAACATGCTTGTCTGAGAGCAGATTATTGGATATGAGGTGGTTAAACCAGTATTGACGGAAATTTAAATTAATCGCAAGTGGGAAGGTGACTGACAGGATGGTAGTTGGAAGGGTCAGAAAAACCGGAGTTCTTGAAGACAGGAACGATCGAATAGGCCTTCAGAAAACTAAGGAAAATAAGATTCCTTGAGGAAAGTTTTGTTAGAAAAAAAAAAATAGAACTGTTCAGGCACGCATTTCTTATAAGACACCCTATATTTATCCCATCTCCACCAATGCCTTGTTGGGATTCTAAACAACAGATAATATGGTTCCACAGTAGGATGATATGGAATTATGTTTAACCCACTCAATAACGACAAAATTCTAAGGAAATGGAAACAAATGGGTACACCAGAACATCAGGAAGAGAGTTGGAAATTTTAGGGCGCAAAACATTCAGCCTTTGGGCTAGAGAAAATTTGACTACGAACTGGTTGAATAAAAGGCAAAATAGAGCATAGGAAAACAATTCAAATCACTCTAACAGAGACTTGAATAAATCTTTGGAGCCAAAAGAGATAACAAAAAGTAGCTTCAAAAAGACTGGAAATTGACTTAGCATCATTTATGATCGCCAATGTCCTGAAGGGGATTAACAAACAGACGTCTATTGAAGTCAGACAGAAGTCGGACTAAATTAGAAGGAAGAATGATTTTTAATATTGGGCGATGGCAAATGAAGCACAAACATTAAAAGATTTTTTAATGATTTAACCCTAATATTTCCTTGATTGGGATCATAAATACTTACATTTGATTTAACCCCAGGAATTTAACTTTTGAGAATCATTTTAATTGTTTTTTAAATCATCAAATAGAAAGGGGACATTTGCTTTAGGAAATCTGGAAAAGGGAAAATGTAATTATTTCGTTGATAATTGTGAAATTCCGAATAAACAATCAGTTTAAAGTTACACAAATTAAAGGAGACGAATGATTATTTACTGTATGGTCAGAGTTATATAATTTAACCATCAAAATATTTGTAAATTCGGGGATGGATTTACTCTGCACAGGTCGAACATTGAAAGAAACAGGAAGATTGTCAGTTGATTTCAAAATTAAAGTTAACTATCTGTGTTTACAAATTAAAAAATTAATTTTTTGAATGTAATCATGGGCCAGAGTAGCATTCTTAAGCCACAGAGTGTGATGGGCGTTTTTTCTCCAAATGCAAAAAATGTGAGCAAACGGGTATCTGTTCTAGCCTTGTCTATGTGGTCATTAAATAGCTATCAAGTATCTTCACAGTCTTGAGAGGATGGAAACCAGTAAAAAGAAGAACTAGATAGATTAAAAAAAATTGTGAGGAAGACAAGACGGAAAACATGTATGACTTATAAAAAGATTGTGAAATTGGTCAAACGTCTCTGATTAAATAAGATGTTCCTTTTTTTAAACACCAAGAATTTTGCCATTTGGGTTGAGAGAGTTTTTTTAGAAACCTGAACAGAAGGGGTTCACGAAATCAGAAAAGGGATTGTTGAAAAACTGTTTGAAAGTGATTAATAATTGAGAGATGGACAAATGTATCTTTTCTTTTCTTTTTCTCTTTGAAAAAAGATTCCAGAACTTTTCACTTCTTAAATTTCTATCAAAACAGATTTTCTTTCTTTCTTTGTTGAGGGGTTTAGTTGGTTTTCAGATCCTTAATAAAAATTATATCTTTTTTTTTCTTTTTTCTTTTCTCCTCGTTAATAAAGATATAATTTTTTCCTTTTTTTTTTTTTTTCTTTCGTTAATAGACAGAAATTTTTCCTTTCCTTTAATTTGAATGGGAAAAAGAGGAGTTTCTTTCTTTTTTCTTCTTTTCTTTCTTTCTTTCTTTCTTTCTTTCTTTCTTTCTTTCTTTTTAATATTGTTTAAGAAATCTCTCCATTAATATTAATGTTTCTTTTTTATTCTCGTTAATATCAAACATTCTTTTATCTTCTTCTTCTGCCTTCTTCTCCGTTAATATTAATGTCACTTTCTTCTTTCCTGTTCGTTAATATTATCTCCTCAGAATTGATTTTCCATTACTATTTTTCTAATTTACGGAGAAATTTCCTCTACCATGAATTCAAAGGCCGGATGAAGAAGACAGTTTTTATCCCCACCTCCATTATAGACATTCTTTTTTTCTTAAACTTTTTTTCCAATTTGTTTTTTGTTTCTGATTTTTCCATCAGCATCATCTTTTCTTTTCATTTTCTCTTACATTTTTCCTTTACTTTCTTTTACAAAACAGAGGGAAGGATTAATGGGAAGATAACAGGTTTCTTTTTTTTTCTTTCAATCTTTCTTTCTATCACATTTTTTATTTTAACTTAGTTTCAGTCCCATTTTATTTTCTAAAAAAAAAAAAAAAGATTAAAAAATGGTTAAGAGATTATTTATTTCATCCAGTAAAATAAATTGTTTTTCCATTTTTTCTTTTTTCTTTCTTAACTTTTCAGGTTAGGAGCTCGCATCCTTTTAAATTAGAAAATATATAGAATCATTGGGACAAAATTCCTTTCATCGTGTTAAAGGTCTGTTGGAAAAAAAAAAACGAAAAACTCAAAAAAAACTTTGAATTAAAAAAACAAAATGTAAACAGGTAAAACCGATTTTCCTGTAACCAAAGAATTTTTTAGGCCAAACGAAGTATACACTTTATTTGATATGGACCTTCAACAGAACTGGTCCGGATATTGCTGATAATATTTTGGAATCTTTTCCAGAATTTTTATTTAAATTTATTACCAAGTAAATTATTTAAAATTTTAGTTGACATCATGGGTGAGGCATTTATCTAAAACGTTCTTTGATAATGCAATTTGGAATGTCATATTTCTGAGAAATTTATTTTTAAAATTATTCGGATTATTGTCCTCATTAAACATGAGAAATTTATTGCATATTCCCGTTTCAAAATGGCATTCTTTATTCAAAATTTCTGAGATGTCTATTAATAATCAAAGAATTTACATTTTTTGATTATTGTCCTCATCTTTGTTGCCATATTTATCCAAGGTTAGAAAATTAGTAATCTGTCTATATTTCTGAGATGATTGTTAGGATATAACTATTTAATTATTAGATCAATTGTCCTCATCTTCATAAAGACATGAAAAATAACGTTTGACAAGATTATTGTTATATTTGATGGACATGCATGTATGTATACAATTTTTTTTTTTCGGAATTGTCCAAATCTTTGTTGCCAATTTAAAAAAACATTTTTTCAATCGTTATCTGTCTATATTTTGGATAGAATTTTTATTATAAACAATTGTCTTGTAAATAGAATTTTAAAGCATTCTGATTGTTGTAAAAAATCTTTGTTGCCAAGACAATAAGAAACGTTGCCTCCCAAAAAAAAAAAATATTTTTTATGAGGAAATTAGTTTGAAAATGTATTCTAAAAATCCAATCCCATATATAAACGAACACACATCAGTACACACAGAAACAACCTGGGTTTTTATAATATTTATAACTCGGATATGAGTTGTCATCTTTTCATTATGGCGACAGAATCGTTTTTTATTGTTTTCAAATTATATTTTGTAAAAAACAATTTGTTTTCAATTTTTTAGTCATCTTCAGAACCATATTTATTAAACGTTTAATTCCCTTCAGTCCTGTCTATATTTCTGTGATGAGGTCGGTGTATACTATTTACATTATTCGGATTATCCAATATATATAAATGTACCCATCAATGACACACACACAACGTTTCGTCCCTTCCATTGTCTATATTTCTGTGATGAGGTGTTACAGTCAAAACAAAAAAAAAAATTCGGATTATTTTGAAATCATCTGGGTTGCCATAGCTAACCTTGCCAATATGCATATATTTCAGTATCTGTCTATATTTCTGTGATGAGGTATTATGTACACTATTGTCCTCATCTTTGTAGCCATATTTATTACAATGTTTCAGCCGTTGTATGCTCCGGCCTTCTTCATGTGGTTGGAATGTCGAACTGAACCCTTTATTTAGCTCACTGGGTTAGACTGTTCTAGTTCCACGTGCCATGTTTAATGGATGTCAGTTATCAGTTATCTTCTGTTAATTTCCCTCTGAAAGTTCTCCACTGGCTTGTTCTACACGTGAAGCTGCGGAAAGAAATATAAAGGGGAGACAGGCCTCCCCCCTTAAGGTAAGGCTTCAAGAACACCAGAAAGCTGTAACATGAGAGGAAGTGGAAAAATCAGGTGTAGCTGACCACATATGGGGAGAGACGGGAGATTCTGTGGAATCACCACATATGCTAGGCTACAAAAATCTCCTGAGATGACCAAGCATAGAAATGAATACAATATAGGAGTGCCAGAGTAAAGCGATAATAACAACAAAAAATTGCAATATGAGCTCTGTTAAAAACATATAATGATAACAGCAAAAATTGCAATATGAGCACTGATAAAGAATGATTGCTGAAGACATTAGGTTTATAATACTCAGAAATTTATATACCGGACACATGGCACAGTGGATAAAGGCATTAGTTAGAGCCAGTGACAGGACTCAAAGAGTGTGAGTTCAATATCCGGTTAAGGCAGTGGAGAACTTTAAATTAGGAGATAACTGATAACTAACAACCATTAAAAATGGCACATGGAACCAGTGAGCGAAATAAAAGATTCAGTTCGACATTCCAACCACCTGAAGAAGGCTGGAGCATACAACAGCTGAAATGTTGCAATAAATATGACGAATAATGTAATAATGCATATATTTGGCACAATTTGTTATGCATACATACAAGATAGAAAGAAATTGGACACTAAAAGTGAAAAAGCAATTTTCATAGGCTATGATTATTCTAGTCCTTCCTATTTAATATATATATGTGAGGTGGGGAGCATCAAGAGAGGTGTATAAAATTTACTGTAAACTTTGAAAAGCCTAAATTGGATGATTGTTTTATAATTTAGATGATGAAGTAAACCTGAATGTAGATTATTGTTTGGTGAAAAATATATCCACTAATTATGATGAAGCTATTACTTCAAATGACTCTATAAAAGGGTGAGAGGCCATGGAAAAAGAAATAGCCGCTCTAAAAGTAAATGATATGTATGAATTAATAGAGTTCCCACCTGATAAAACTATTGTAGGTAGTCAATGGGTGTACATTATTAAAACAAATGACACTAGTGAACAGTTCAAACCAAGATTTGTTGCAAAAGGGTATTTGCAAAGACCTGGCATAAATTATTACAAAACTTTCTCCCCTACAGCTTGATTATCGTCAGTAAGGATTTTAATGCAATTAGCTGTTCAACATAATTTATGTGTCTACCAAATGGATGTAAAAACAGTATATTTAAATGCACTGATCGACTGCGAAGTGTATATCAAACAACCAAACAGCTAACCATTCGCAGCAAAAACAATAACAAACTTGTATGGTGATTAAGGAAATCCTTATATGGACTTAAGCAAAGTGGACAAAATTGGAATCAAGTTCTTCACACATATTTAATTAGTGAAGGTGTCTCTCAATCCTTGGCAGATTCTTGTATTTACACAAAAAATACTTCTAATAATTTAATACGATATTGATTATGATTGTTTGGGTTGATAATATTGTAGAATTAGATTTCTATATTCTGTTTTAAACCTGTTAAAAGAGGGTTACAGCTAAGTATTCTCAGTTTGTGCTGAACCCATTAAAATTGGCTCCAGTGTTCAGTATGAAACAATGCTTTTTGATTAGTCCATGAATAATAATATGTTTCTGCCTATGTGTGTATGGTTGATCTTGAGTTGACATTCAGTTGACCTATTTAGAGTTCAATGTGCAAAAAATTGGTAAATGTTCTTTTGAGCCTCCCACGTGATCAAGAAAATTCATAAATATGAAACTTCGACATGACTTTGTGAGTCCTTAAAATAATCAACTTATCACACAAATCCATGAAACCCAACTTCCTCACTCAAAGTTAATTTTCATTAACGTCAACCTGGCTTGTGGAATTCAATTTCTTTTCAACATCACCTCATCTAGTGACCCATTCAACCAAGATGAGATTCAGAACCCAACTCACTCAATATCTTAGCAACATAAAGGAAGTCATAACTATATCAGTCGAAACGAGACAACTCAACAGTAAGTCAAGCAATCTATTTCATTCAATTTCACCATCAACGTAAACTATTTAATTCTTTACCAGATCTATAGCATAACACCTTTTATATTACCCTCAATCACACAACCAAGAACTTTAAAGTGTTTTAAACAATTTTATTATATCATGTGTACTTGTTATAAAAAAATATCTTTTGTTAAAACAAATATTTGCTTATTTGATTATTTCTCTTGTTGCTGTTGTCTTTGTTACATTTGATTTAGTAAAAATAGTAGAGGGTCAGTTTAGTTTGTATTTTCTCAGCGATACTGATTGGCTAACCCACTACAATATGCTTAATTGGTGCCAGTTGCAATTCCACAAATAAAATAAATAATGTAAAAACATTTTTAAGTGAAAAGTTCAGAATGACCGATCTTGGAAAGCTCTCTTTCTTTCTTCAGTTTAAGTTTAAAAACAATCACATTAAAATGAATCAAACAAAATATATTGAAAAGATTCTAACCAAATTTAAAATGCAAGATTGTAAACCTAGATCAACGCCTTGTGAAATTGATATCAATCTAATGGATGAGAACAATGCTGAACCAGTAGATGGAAAATACTACCAAGAGATAGTTGGCAGTCTTATATACGTTATAACCACCACTCATCCTGATATTGGTTACATAGTAACAAAACTTTCACAATATTTTGCAAATCTGACCACTTGATAAGAGCCAAACAAGTCTTGTGCTGTTTGTGTTTAATAAGTCAAATAAAACCCTAATTTTATGAAGTTTTTGTGATGCTGATTG